TGGAAGGTAACAAAGCATAGGAGCTGCAGCAATGCAGGTGTGAGCTAGAAAGCAGAGCACAAGGGGAGATGGAAAAACAGGGAGTTCCTGCAATGCTGCAGGATGGATCTGAACCGTGAACAGAGAACAGCAAATTATCTAGGAAATATGTATAAATTGTATAGAATAGCTCCAATCAGAGCTTAGAATGACTTGTTCTCTTTCCTCCTTTCTTCTCTCTCTGAAATATTATTTCATGTGATTATTATCTCATTCTCTGCATAATATTTTCTTGTTCTAGCTAGTAAGACAGACAGTGAGGAGCTATTTTTACTGAATTTGAGGAATGCTGCCAGCTCTGATCTTGCCGGGGGGGAAAGTGCTGGAACTCACCCTCTGAAGTTCAGGTTGCACCCTGCTGGAAAAGAATGAGGACACAATGGAAGATAAAAGATCTCTTTGTTGAAGCCTTGTGACTCAGGGCAGGTCTACACTAGAAGCTCAAGCTGGCTGCTTTGGTGCATCTGATGAAGACGCTCATGGGAGACAGGGAGAGAGCTCTCCCATTAGCTGGGGGAGGGATAGCTCAGTGGTTTGAGCACTAGCCTGCTAAACCCAGGGTTATGAGCTCAATCCTTGAGGGGACCACTTAGGGATTTGGGGCAAAATCAGTACTTGGTCCTGCTAGTGAAGGTAGGGGGCTGGACTTGATGACCTTTTGGGGTCCCTTCCAGTTCTATGAGATAGATAGGGATAACACTGACTCTTAGGTCGGTATAACTTACATCACTTGGGCGTGGCTGAGTCACACCCCTGAATGACAAATTATACTGACATAACCTATAGTGTAAACAAACCCTAATCCTTAAGGAAAGAGAGGGAGTGGGGGAACTCCTGAAGGTGATTCATAATGTGAGATGAGCAATGGCTGTGTATATGGTATTGTGTTTTCCTGGGGCATAAGAATAGGGATACCAAATTCATTTAATTTCATTCCATTTTAAAGTATATTTCATGGGCCAGGGGATAAATTTGGAAATTACTACATCCTAGGGGTGTGGTTTTTTGTGTTTGTTTTTAAACAAACAGCTTTCACAACATATAAGATCTTAAAACATAAAACGGGGAAAGCTACTGTCTAAAATTTACCTATGAATCACCAAAAAAGCCTGAGCACAAACTAACTCCATAGACAGGAGTTTTTTTAAACCCTCTGCAGACTTTTGTGCATTTTAAGTACTCAAATACACTTGTTTTCTTTTAGCTTTCCTTAAAATTCTCACAGAGCCTGCATGCTGTCTTCTGTCTTATGTTTTTGTCTGCTGCATGGCAATATCAAGTAACATGACCTTACTTATCTTCTTTAATACACCACCTATGTCATATCTGTTTGCCCGCACCATTTGCCTGTGACAACTGCCAGATCCATAAAATCTTAGACTCTTCATTCTCTAGAGCACTTGCAATTCGCTGGTCATAATATCGCAGGGTGAGTTTAAATCCGTACTTGCCACATAGTCTCCATTGGAGACTCTTGGCAACCTCATTGTGTCTGTTCATATATTCTCTCCCAACCAGGCTCCTGCAGGTGATCAGCACATGCTGCATCATCTCTCCCTTGTTGGAACAATTCTGCAGTTCAGGGAGTAGTTCTGTTGGTCAATTTTGTTTCAAAATTTAAGCTTTGACAAATTTTCTGTGCTCATAATGAGGCTCTCTGTCTTTCCTTTGAGGTCTCCTTCTAGAAGCCATGAGTTTGTTAATCTTTCATCACTGATTGGTTATTAATTATTTAATAATAATAATAATAATTATTATTTATATTACGTTAGCACCTAGGAGCCCCAGTCATGGACCAGAACCCCATTTTGCTAGGTGCTGTACACAGAACAAAAAGACAGTCCCAGCCCCAAGGAACTTACAATCTAGGTATAAGACAAGAGACAGCAGATGGATATACACAGGTATGAGCATACAAGGAAACAATGAGATAATGTTGGTCAGCATGACAGGCAGTGGTCTCTGCACACCAGCAACCTAAATAGTCCACTTAGTCCACAACTTTCAAGGATGGAACACAATCTTTATATAGTAATTAAACTTTTAGTTATTATAATTATTTGCAACAACTTATTGTCACGATCCACATCACTCCAGGGGCAAATATGTCCACCTTTAGGATGACCACTATCTCTGCACAGTTATTCCTCCGTCCCCATTCTCCTTCCTGTTTTTCAGCCTCTTCCCTATCCTTATAGCTCACCTGCTTTCTTCCTGCTACCTTCCCTTCCCTTAGTAATTTCCTGTTTCCACACTGTGGGCTTCATTCCCACTCTCTATCACAACTGACCTGCTAAAATAACCTGCAATGACATAGTCAATGCTGACACTAAGTGTCATTACTATGCTTCAGAGTAACATGTCCAATAAGATTAATGAGGTGCAGGGAGTTCACACTCTCAGACTGCCTGCAGAATCAGGAGAACACCATCACAACATTGGTTTACACTCAGGTCACATTTGGAAGGCTAGTTTTGTAATCACGAGGCCTAAAAATTTACTTTAATAAAAAAAAAAAAAAACTGTGCAAACTTGATATGCCATCAAGGCCACAAAAATACATCAAATTGGCTAGATCCAACCCACAGATTAGGTGTTTGACATCAATAATGCCCGATATTGTTCTGGATGTGCAGTAATTGCCCTAACAAGTTCTTTGTACAATTACTGCATAACATGGCTGTTGTACCGTGTTGCCATGCTGACAACTCACCAATCTACCTCTCTACTCCATACTTGTCTCCTTCTGTCCTAACTAAAATCTCAGCCTCTGTCTCTCTGACATCTTCTCGTAGATGTCCAGACAACAGCTTAAACAGAACTCCTAATTATCCACCCACCCTCCCCCTCCCAGCTCTCCCTCTACCCTCCTTTCTTGATCGCTGGGGACAAAACCACCGTCCTCCCTGTCATTCAGGCCTGTAACCTGGGTGCTATCTTTGACTCAGCCCTTTCTCTAGATCCTCACATCCAGACTGTGTCAAAATGTGGCTGATTCTTTCTCTGCATAACATCTCTGAAAGACATGGCCTCTCCTATTTACCCACACAGCTAAAACTCATCTAGGCTCTCATCATCTCACTTCTTGATTACAACAGCCTCTTCTTTGACCTTGACAAATTTAGTCTCGCCCCACTCATATCCATTCAGAATGATGCTGCAAAGATCATTCTCCTAGCTCATCACTTGGACCCTGTTATCTCTTTCTTTGCATCCCTCCACTGGCTCCCCCTTTTCTATTGAAACATAAGCTGCTTGTCTGCACTTTCAAGGACTTTCACACTCTACTCTCACCCCACCCACCGATCATGTCTCATATGTTATCGAGATGTCAGCTCTTGCTTCAGCTCCGCCAATGATGCCAGCTTCCATCACCCATTTATTCAAATTTCAAACAAGCACCTTTGTGCTTTCTTCCATGCTGCCCCTCCCGCTTGGAAGGAACTCCCCATAAACCTCCACAAAGCTACCTCATTATCCTCCTGCAAATCCCTCTTAAAACTCTCCTCTGCAAAGTCACCCACAAAAATCTTGACAATGGTTAGGCCGCTGGTATGCTGGGACCACTGCCCATCATGCTGAACAGTATTGTCTCATTGTTCCTTTGTGCTCCCCCACCTATTGTCTCTTATATTATACTTAGCTTGTAGTCTCTTTGGGACTATCTTTTTGTTTTGTGTTTGTACAGCATCTAGCACAATGAGGTCATGGGCCATCATTGGGTCTGGTAGGAACTACCACAATGTAACTAATAAACAATAATATAAGTATATATTGCAGTGCACAGTGCTGGCGGTGCAAAGACTTTATACTGTATGCTGCCAGTGAATGGGGCACATTGCATATAATTGTACAGCTCAATGTTAGCTCATTGTGCTGCTAGTGAGGATCAGGATAGTTATAATACTGAACAATCCTCTTTTTTAATCTGGTTTGTGCCCTGTCTGCTACTGAGACAAAACAGGGTGTGGCTTTGTCTGGTACTGGATGGGGAATGCCATTTTGAACAGTGCTCTGCTCTGTCCCTGTTGGCATGACCTTGCGCTCATCGTACATATGAGGTCACGCTGGAAGGGCATGGAGGCATGCTCTTGAAAATGGCATCCCCCATGCAGCATGACCTTGCACGCATCACGCATACAAGGTAGGGTTGCCAATTTTGGTTGGATGTATTCTTGGAGGTTTCATCACATGACATATTCTTTAATTAAAGATTAATCTTTAATTCCTGGAGGATTACTATTACAAGGTCATGCTGGTGGGGGGAGGGGAGCATCATGCAGGCAGAGGTGGGCCCATGCTGTTACCAAAAGTGCTGGAATGTCTGGTATTCTGGGAACATGTGAACGGCCACTCTATAGTAGGCACAAGATGTACTGCAGCTTATGTTACGGGCCAGTGACCCCGGTGGGTGTGTGATCTAGCGCAGGCTGGTGTATACAGGAGATGTTGTTACAGGCTGCTGTTGGTGATGTGCATGGGATACGTCATGGGGTGATGTGTCAGATGGAGGGTAGGCAACATTGCCAACTCTTGTGATTTTATTGTAAATACGTGACGGTCTTCTCATTCGACTATGTGAGAAGTTCATCCTGTGCTATTTAAAAACAGCACGTTTCTAGCACTTGTGGCCTGGAGGGAAAAAACCTGGAAAATATGACCTCGAGGCTCAAACTAGAGAACAAATAAAAAAAAAGAACCCAGTATTTACTATGTTTATGATCACAGGACTTTTCTGTGCAGTTTTCTCAGGGCCTGACTCCTGAATGACCCCCTCCCCCCATCCAGCACGCGCTCGATCTCCCTTCCCTCCTCTCCCCCCGCCCACAACATTCTGCCCTCTGTCATTGGCTTATCCCCGGGGCCGCTCTGTCCAATGGGAAGGCCGCTTGCAAGCCCGCCTTTCCCGCCGCTGGCCAATGGGGGTAAATTCGAGCGGCGGCGCCGGGCTGGAGGTGCCTTTGACAGCGCGTGCGGGCGCATGGCGGTTCCTCGGTGCGTGAGGCCCTTGGGCGCCCCGCGCTGAGTCGCGAGCCGCCCCCCTCCCCGGATGGACGCGCGGGCCGGGCTCCCGGTGCTGCCTCTTTCCGGGCGGGCTCCCCGGGGCCGCTGCTGGGCGCTGCCCACCGCGCTGCTCTGCCTGTACGGCTTCTTCGCCAGCCTGCGGCCCTCGGAGCCCTTCCTCACCCGCTACCTGCTGGGGCCGGACAAGAACCTCACCGAGACCCAGGTACCGGCCCGCCGGGGGCGCGGGGCTGCTGGGGCGGGGGGATCTCTGCGCCCCGTCCAGGGATCCCCAAACTCCGGATTAACGCAGAACTCCCGGAACTGCATCTGCATCACCCCCCCCCCCCCCCCCCGGCAGAGTATCTCCCTGGGGGGAGTGAGGGCAGCTGTGCACAGCAGCCCCACCCAATGGCGCAGCTCAGGTGGTGACTGTCTGATGGCAGGCGATTGTCTGGGATTGTAGGGAGACAAAATGGAATCACCCCGCTGGAGTTTAGCTACTGCACCACCTGCTGCAATGTGACTCCTTGTTAGTGTGGTGGTGATGGGTTTTTTTTGTTTTTTGTTTTTTAGCTAGGCTTCAGGGAGGCAGTGGTGCCTACATATTCGCTTGGGGCAGCAAGAGTCAGGACTTCAGCTCTGCCACTGAGTCTGTCTATGAACTTGAGAAAATCACATCAATTTATGCCTCCTCTTCCCTTTCTGTAAATTGGGGTAATAGCTTTTGTAAAGTGCTTGAGATCATCCTGTTAAGAGCATTGTATACATTCAATGTATCATTGTTCTGCAGGACGGGGGTGGCAGGGGTTAGTAGCGTAAGCTTGCCCTATGTTACCCTCCTAACATGCCTCAACTTGAAGCTGGAGAGAGTATGGCTAGGTCTTTCTTCTCTTCTCTCTCCTCCCCCCCCCCCCCGCGGGATTTATAAGCAGTGAGATAGCTATCTTAGTGTAAATCGTAGTGGAGAGAAGGCACAGGTAGTTTTTACCCTGATGTAGCCTAGGTAAGGTCAAACCCGGGTGTGGGGTATAGTATTATCCTCCCCTAGCTACATTTTGTTAAAAACTACTTGTGCCTTGTCCAGTAGGATTTTTACAGCAATATAAGAAACACGCATTAGTTGTCTTGCTGTAAAATGTGCCTTTTTTTTTTTGTCAGTGTAGACGTAACTACTCTCTCACTACTAGATATAGGCTCAGTCTCTGACCTGTTCTTGGCCTCTCTGACCTAGGGAGCGTGTATAGGGGCATTTAAACTTAAAAATAAAAAATCTGAAGTATTGGGGATCTTCTTGTCAAGTAGATTTCAGTACAGTGACTCTTGATCACAGCTGATTGAATTCAGACTGGTGAACTGGTGATTTGGAACAGAAATGTTGGTTCGTTTACACTCTCTCTCCCTTCCCATTGATAACTAGTTTCCTGGTGTTCCTCGCCTGTAAATGTCTAGGAAGTACCAGGAATTTAAAAATAATTCTGTCATGTATTGAGAATGCAGGTTTTTTTTTAAATAGATTCGTACATGGTTTAGGGGCAGCAGAAGATGATTGGTGTGGCCTTGGATATTGCTGCCTGTGTGCCTACAAAATGATGGAAATGCCACAGAGGCAATAGTTGGTTCCTGTAATGCAGACAGCATGCAGATTAAGGCTATGTCTACACTGGCAATTGAGTGATAAAACTTTTGTCGTTCAGAGGTGCTATCCTCTCCACCCCCATCCCCCCCGAAAGACACCGCGGCAAGTGTCAGTGTGAACACCGCATTGTTGGCAAGCATGCTCTCCTGTCAACAATGCGAATGCTGCTCGTTGGGGGTGGAAGTATTTTTGCAGACAAACAGCGGCTACACTGCCCGACTTTTAGCGACACAGCTAAAAGCTGCATAGTGTAGACATAGCCTTAGAGCATCCTTGGGATCTGAGCTCTGCAGTTCAGAGAGGAGCGCGTATGCAGCAGTGAATTGTATACATAAGAGTGAAGGTGCTCCACTTGTGAGAACTCAACGGCTGGTCTGTTAAAAGGTGGCCAGGGCTGTTTGCTTGGGGTAGGGAGGAAGGACAAGGAAGAAGTCTGGTTGGAAGAGCTGGTTGAGAGAAGTCTATGGGGTTAATGGGGAGTTTTGGAGGAGGATCAGGATGAACTAGTAAGGTCTATCCAAGGTTACTGAAGACACTTCTCTCCCTCCTCCACACCCCTGAAAAAATTCTGCCATCACTGATTTGTAGGAAATGCCTGTACTCCTGGTGGATTTTGGTTTTATCTAACCTTGGTCCACCCCCCACAACTGGAAGTGCCAGAGTACAAATTGAGAGTAGCTGTTATTGGGAAGAAAATCTTCACGGGAGGACCTGCTCTCCCAAAATACTAATGTCCATGGCCTAAAAATTAGAAATTTAAAGGGACACTCACATAAGTCACACTTCCGTCTGAAAATGTATGCACTATAATTCTAAATTACACTTAAGATTGCTATAAATATTTACAGGGAATTATTGCAATGTAGGGCAGGAAGAAACCTAGAGAGGTCAAGGTCCAAATTTCTTGGTCAAAATATAGTTGAGGTCCAGACTCTAGAGAAAATAATACAAAAATAATAACAATAATGATGATAAATAGATAAGATTTTTGCGGTCTGTTCAAAAGCATCTGGCGATCTGAATTTGGCACACGGTCTGCCTATTAGCTACCCCTGCCCTATGCTGGAACAAGTATTCCTAGTCCATCCCTCTTTAACCTGTTCTTAAAAACCTCCAGTGACAGGGATTCCCTAACTCTGTTGGTAATCTATTCAAGGTCAATGACCCTTATTTGTGATCTGCTATATCCCCCAGATCCTTTCCTGCAGTTCTACTGCTTAGTTATTTATTCCCCATTTTGTGTTTGTGCAACTGATTTTTCCTTCCTAAGTGTAGTACATGTCTTCATTGAATTTCATCTTGTTGATTTCAGACCAATTCTCTAATTTGTCAAGGTTGTTTTGAATTCTAAACCTGGGCTCCAAAGTGTTTGCAACCCTTCCTGGCTTGGTGTCATCTGCAAATTTTATAAGGATACACTCCACTCCATTAACTAAGTCATTAATTAAAATGTTGAATAGTAATGGCCCTCAGAGAGCCTCCTGTGGGACTCCACTAGATAAATCCTTCCCAGTTGGACTGTGAACCATTTGAGAACTACTCTTTTAGTGCAGTCTTTTAACCAGTTAGGCATGCCCTTTATAGTAATTTCATCTAGACCACATTTCCCTGGTTTGCTTAAGAGAATGTCATAATGTATAACATAATATAGTTTGAGTGTTTGACAGCACTTGGTATATAGTCAATTTCCCCTTTGTTGGTGTTTATAAAGATATTCCCAACAGGGAAGCAGAAAAACTTGTACAAATAATCTTAAAAGGAATTTTCTAAAGGCTAACTTCAGGGCAGGCTTTTTAACTGATCCAGAGTGTGTGTGTGTGTACACACACACACGTCAACTGTTTCATGTTGATAATGACCACTATAACTGGTAATGAATTTGCTACTGATTAAAAGTAAATGTCAGTTGGTGACATGGCAAAATAGAAAGAGAATCAAAGTAGAGAAGCAACAGCTACTACTATCTCTTCACTAACGAATGAGCAGTAAAGCATGATCACTTTTTGGTTAATAACATTAATAGTAATGTTCCTCTTCATTGGAGGAATGAACAAATGTACTAGTTGCAGGTTCATACCTAAACTTGCCCTTAGCTTAATTAGTGGCTAGGATACTGTATTATAGTCTGGCATCCTGACCTCCTGGGTTTTGGTTCTGGTTCTGCCACTGATCTGTTGTGTGACTTTGGACAAGTCAGTTTCCTTGGATGTAAAATGTATAATGATTTATAAATATATTATAAAGTAACTTACCCACTTCTGTAAAGTACTCTGTGATCTACACCTGGAAAGCCTTATGCAAGTACTTAAGCACCTACGTAGTAGTCTGGTGTTCTGGTAAACGGGTGTTGCATTTCACTAGTGGATGAAAATTATTGTATTTGTAAAGCACTCTGAGAATTCAGGGGATGGAAGGATATGTATAAATTTAAGATTTTTATTCTAAGTATCCAAACTCAAATCTACTGTTACCTCTAGCTCCCTGTACAGCACTAACTAGAGGTAGAAGGGAGGGATGTTGCATTTTGTTGAGTATATTGTAGAGATTATTTGTTGGCATTGCTGGGAAATGGTTTTACCTGCTGTTTCTTAAATGTCTGTGTTTAGGAATCTTTTTCTTTGAACTTTCAAATACGGAGTTTACTTTCCCAGTTGATTAGTTAATGGCTTGCTTTTCTTCTTACAGGTTTTCAATGAAATTTATCCAGTATGGACCTACTCTTATTTGGTGTTGCTGTTTCCTGTATTCCTTGCAACAGACTATCTCAGGTACAAACCTGTAATCCTCCTCCAGGGACTGAGCCTTATAGTGACATGGTTCATGCTGCTCTACGCCCAAGGATTGCTAGCTATTCAGTTCCTCGAGTTCTTCTATGGATTGGTGACTGCTACGGAGATTGCCTATTATTCCTACATCTATAGCATTGTGGATTTGAACTTGTACCAGAAAGTCACCAGCTACTGTCGAAGTGCCACCCTGGTGGGTTACACTGTGGGTTCCATCTGTGGACAGGTTCTGGTATCGGTTGCCAATTGGTCTCTGTTCAGCTTGAATGTCATCTCCCTGACCTCTGTGTCTGTGGCTTTTGCCACAGCTTGGTTTCTGCCAATGCCACAGAAAAGTCTTTTCTTTCACCACGTCTTGAGAAGCCAGGTCAGTAGGGAGATGAAAGTTCTAGATTGTAAAAATGGAGTTGTCATCGGAGATGATCCTGCCTTAAAAAGGGTCCCTGGGTGGGAAGACATTGAATCGAAAGTTCCCTTAAATGCAGAAGAGCATTCTGCAGAGACACAGGTAAGCCATGCTGTTGTCTTCCATTTCCCTGGAACATGTCACTATCATAGCCACCTTGTATATGTAGTGAACTGTGTGTCTCAATTACCTGACAGCAAAAGGTATCCCTCTTCACCCCCTCACCTATGCATGGCCCAGGAAAGTGCTTTCCTGGCTTCCTTTTGATCACACAGTATTGTAGTGCAGTGGTTTTCAAACTTTTTTTCTGGGGCCCCAATTGAAGAAAATTGTTGATGCCTGCGACCCAACGGAGCTGGGGATGAGGGGTGTGGGAGGGGCTCAGGGCTGGGGCAGAGGGTTGGGGTGCAGGGGTGAGTGCTGTAGGGTGGGGCCAGGAATGAGGATGTGGGAGGGGGCTCTGGGCTGGGGCAGGGGGTTGGAGGATGTGGGGGGGTCAGGGCTCTGGGCTGGGGCAGGGGGTTGGAGTGTGTGTGTGGGGGGGGGTCAGGGCTCTGGGCTGGGGGTGCAGGCTCTGGGCTGGGGATGAGGGGTTTGGGGTGCAGGAAGAGGTTCTGGGTTTGTAGGGGGTTCGGGGTTGGGGCAGGGGATCGCTGCGCGGGCTTACCTCCGGCAGCTCCCAGTCAGCAGGGTTGCTAAGGCAGGCTTCTCGCCTGTCCTGGCGCCATGGACCGTGCTGCGCCCCAGAAACAGCCATCAGCAGGCCCGGCTCCTAGGCGGTGTCGGAGCAGGTAGGCACTAGCCTGCCTTACCTGAGCAGCACCACCAACGTCCCAGGGTTCTGAGCAAGGCGACCCAGTGCCTTACATGCCGCGATCCAGTACTGGGTCACGACCCGAACTTTGAAAAACACATGTAGTGCATTATTCTTGCAGGTACCTGGTCACTTTATTTAAAATTCTCTAGTGCTTTATATTACCAAAGAGGAAATTCATATATTTCCAGTCAGTTTTTTAAGAAATAAAACACTTTTGGGGGGGAGGTGGTGAGAATCTTATGGGTGCCCAAAGTGCAGTTAATACACCCCATGGCATCATAATATGCAGCTTGCAGCTGCCACCTCAATAACTGAGTGAGGGGAAAAAAACTGAGGAACTATAGAGTTTCATTGCAAGTGAATTTGCTAATCATTTAATCTGGCCAGGAAGATACTGAATCAGTACAAGAATTTAGGGTTGTGTGCACTAAGTTCTGACGCAAGCCTGTGGGAGTATTTTAAATTTGTCCAGTTGCCCAGTTATATAATTAACTTATTACCACTTGGCATATGTAGTTGCTGTAACTGGACTACAACGAACTTAGTCCTATTTTTTGATCCCGGAAGTTTCTTTGTACTAACTCTGCTGAAATTCTTTATAACGAGTGACAATAAATCACAGCAAACGCTTGTGTGCACACACTGTGGTACAAGTATAAGATCAGTAGGTGACAAAGGACTCATGGATAAAGAAGTCCTTCAGGAGGGACTTGAAATGAGATGGAGAGTCAGCTTGATGAAAAGATGTTAAGAGCTACAGGGGAGAAAGCTCTTGCACTGTTATTGGTGATATTTGCATCACATTCCGAGGGGCAATCCAGACCAGGGAGGGGATGTGTCACCGCTTGCTCTTCAATCTTGGGTCGCTCACAGTCAGCCTGCCAGCATGCAGATCACACCCTGAGTGTCTGTGTACAGTCACAACCCTGGTCCAGCAATTCTGACCCCAGGAGCCTGTCAGAAACACTGCAGTCACACTCTTGTTTCCAGCAGCCTTCATTATTACTTGCAGGTTGACCTCAACACATTCGCAGTCCCAAATATCCCCCCAAAATATGTTCTTCACTGCCCAGCCCCCTCCTGGACACTCCAGATATTATAGGTCTGTTGCCCAAGTAAGGGGTCAGTGTACAACAGTTTACTACTTGGAGTTACCAAACAATTCAGTTTAAACACAATACTAGATACTTTTTAGTTCCCAAAAAGCATTTTCTTTGTTTCTCTTGTAACCATTTCTGACTTTAATGCCTTATATTTGTACTCAAAATAACTTTGTACATAAAGAAACTTTCTATTCTTTAATTAAAACTAAACAAGCTAGACTTGGCTCAAGGTAAATCCTTATCACCTGTTCCCAGCAACAAGGCTGACTGAATTCTTAGGTCCGAACCCCTCCCAAAAGTCCAAAGGCTTGTTCCTTTGTTGTCTTAGGTGAAAAAGAGAGAGAGAGATCCCCAAGTGTGTATTTGCCCCTCACTTTTATAGTCCAGTCCCCCTTTGAAGTAGATTCTTCTGAGGATTAACCCTCAAAGCAAAGTTTATTCAAACAGTAAATGCGGCTATGTGGAGTCTGGGGTGAAGGTGTTCCCATCCTCTTTCTTCTCTCTTGTATATGCTGAAATGCAGCTTTGCACCATCTCAGTGTATATGTAAATAGAGGTAAACATATTCCTTTGTTTAGGACAGACCTGATAACCACTGCTTTCTAGTCAGGGCTGCATGGGTTTGATGATGTGCTACCAACATCATACAGGGGGAAATTGGTAACTTGACATATAATATAGCTACGTACACTTTACCATGATATCATTGATCAGTGAGTTTTTAGGTTTCAAGTGATCCCTCAAAAAGCATATTTTGTGCAAAAATGATTACTCTAGGGTGTGAATACAGGGGTGCGTTTGGTCATAACTTTGATCAGGCAGAGGCTGATGCTGAATTTGAGGGGGGTATGGAGAGACCAGGTCCGTAAGGTGGGTTAGAGTAAGTTCATGGAGAGTTTTAATACAAATAAATCACTCTCTAGCTGGATCCTGAAGTGAATGGAGAGTCAGTGAAGTTAAGGTTGGGGCAAGATTCAAAGTAGTACAAGCACACACAAGAATTTGGACTGTATCACTCTTGCACATGCTGGAAAGCTGAGACATGAGAAGTCCCTGCAAAAGGGAGTTGCAAGGTAAGATAAAATCCTGCATGAGAATTTCAGCAGAGCTAGAGTCAGTGTGGCTATATAATGTGTCAGTCTCCCCAACCAGGTTTCTCTTCAAATATTATCCCTGGCAATGAGTGGAAGGAGGGCAACAATGTTGGGCTTCATTTTAGCCAGAAGGGTTTATCCTTTTATAGGCTACTGCTGAGAATTAAACCTATTAACATTCCAGGGAATTGGGTAAGATTAATCTAACAGTTTTGCAAGGCCCCTTTACTGAGAGAACTGGAGGAACCACTGAGCGTAGATGAAGGGAAGTCTTTCTTTTATTTTGCTGCTTTTAGTGGGATGGGGTGGGGGAGTTCCTGGATCACTCAGGTACATGTAATGGACTGTTGAACAAGTGATCTTGATCAAAAGCCTTCCTCCTCTCTAACCTTCAGCCTGGGGATTTGTTCAGTCAGTCCTAACGGTATCTGGACTATTTGTCCACAGTGGCATCAGCAATAGGATAGCATTTTCCTTGTCCGTTTCACTGACCATTTCATCTAGCAATAGCTGTAAATACCTTCAGAATTCTTCTACTTGGGAGGAAAGGATATGTTAAGGGAGTCGAATGTGAGCTACCTGAGGCAAGGATCCTGTCTTCCATTGCAGCATACTCAATATGCTGAAAATATTCAGTAATAAAAACATGTCATTCTGTGCCGTTTGATTGAGGAATTACTGAAAAAAATTTTTTTTTTTTTTTTAAATGTCCTGTAATACAGGAACAAGGAGGCCTTGATGTAGAATCTAAATAAAATAAAGGGAATGCTCTCTGAGATCAACTACAGTCATCTAGGAAGTTAAATTACACCAGATACTTAAATACTGAGGCTCCATTATTATTTTTTAAAACCAAAGTAGAGCTGAATAACATTGCTCTATAATGGTTTTGCATGTTAAGATAATGGCAGTTAAATCTCAGGAGCATAACCTGATGGCTACAGGGTTCAGGGAAGAATTTTATATCTCCCCGTGCAGCATTGCACAATTAAAAAAATGTTTAGGGGATCCTGCCTTCTGAAGCATCCAATACCTGCCACTTTGGACCTGAAGAATCAGTGGCTGCTTCCTACATAGCAAATCTGTTCCCTAACTTTCCTACACCTAAATCCATGCTCTATCTGAAATCCTCTGCTCAGAGCAAGAATAGAAACCGCATCCACTGTTTTGTGCTGATGTGTCCTCAAACTGGTTGTGTTTTGTCATTAGAAAATTGCATTTGTTTGCACCCACCCAGAGTACAAGGATCTAGACAATTACTAAACTTATTGCAACTGGCAGAGCACCAAGAAATCATTCCATAGGGAGTGTCTCATGGCTACTAGAGCTGAGCAGAAACTAGAGCAATGGTCTCCAACCTTTTTAAGCAGAAGATCACTTTTTGAATTTAAGTGCAACCCAGGATCTACCTTAAAGAAAATGTAGAAATAACATTAATTACACACACCCTTGCCCTCCCCCTTCTCTGAAGCCCTGCCCCACTCACTCCATCCCCCCCTCTGTTGCTCACTCTTCCCCCATCTTCCCTCACTTTCACGGGGCTGGGACAGGGTTGGGAGGGTGTGCAGGCTCTGGGCTGGGGCCGACAGGTTCAGAGTGTGGGAGGGGCTCTGGGCTGAGGTTGGGATGCAGGAGGGGGTTCAGGGTGCAGGCTCTGGGGAGGAGTTTTTTGTGCAGGAGAGCTCTCAGAGCTGGGGCAGGAGATTGGGGTGCAGGTGGGGATGTGGGGTGCTGGCTCTGGGAGGGGGCTCAGGGCTCAGGCAGAGGGTTGGGGTGCAAGGTGTGGGCTCTGGGAGGGGGCTGGGGCAGAGGTTTGGGATGCGGGGGGGGGTGCAGGCTCTGGGGTGGGGTGCGGGGCGGCTCAGGGCTGGGGGTTGGGGTGCAGGAAGGGTTTGGGGTGCACGCTCCCGTGGGCGCCGCTTACCTGAGGCAGCTCCCGAGCGGTGGCAAGCGGGACTAAGGCAGGCTGCCTGCCTGCCCTCCCTGGCCCCCCACGCTGCTCCTGGAAGCAGCTGGCATGTCTGGCAGCGGCTCCTGGTGTGGGGAGGGGCAGGTGGCTCTGCACACTGCCCCTGTCCACAGGCACCGCCCCTGCAGCTCCCATTCACTGCGGTTCCCCGTTCCTTCCCCCCCCCCCCAAGAGTGGCCGTGCAGGAGAAGAGGAAGTTCCGTCCCTCCCCAGCCCGGATGGGGCTCTCCTAGCAGCACGGAGGAAATCAGACCCACCTCCAGGAGCCTCCCTCAGCTGGAGGAAGCTCCATGGCTGCTGCCTTCACAGCCACGCTCTGAAGGCAGCGTAGCCACGGAGCTTCCTGCAGCTTGGGGAGGTGTCCAGTGGTGGGTCTGATCTCCCCCTGAGAACAGTCGTGCAAGGGAAGAGGAAGTGTCGTCCCTACTCAGCCCCACTGGGGCTAGCAGCTGGACCCTGATGCACAGTAGGAGCCCTGCCCCTCCTTCTCCCCTACAATAGCTAGATTTCACAGTGGAGATCTGATGTCATAGTTCGTGACACGTTTTTCACAGCCTTGAATTTAGTAGGGCCCTAGCCATGAATGAACCATGGGCAAGTCACTTAACCTAACCATAATGTCCACTTGTAAATGCTCTGTGATCCTTGGATGACAGGTGGTGTTTACTGTCCTATTATTGCCTCAGTGAAACCAAGCATGCCAGTTGCCACTCACTTTGTAGTATTGTAGGATCAAGAGAGTGGCTGGAAGGGCTGGTAGTCTAAATCTCTTGTCTTCATTGGCTCTGATTCATGTGGGTCTGAGAATCCTGTCCTGGTCATTCCTGAAAGGTGAGAGAAGCTGATCATTATTGAGCAGCTACTCTCTCCTTATACAGTAAACATTATGCTGGCATCAGTGAGGTACTTTTTGCGTCAGAAAGCTAACATCCCCCTCCCACACCTAGTCTCGTTCACATTCAGCATAGCATGATTCAGGGAGGAGGGTTGTCCACAGTAGAACTTGGTTATCTCTTTTTTTTTTTTTTTTAACCCTCAAATTACACGAAAACAATATTATTTAGGTTGCAGAGTCCAGCACTCGAAAGTAGGGAAATGCCAGTTTTACAATTGCCTGGGTAACCTTAATTTGGCCCTCTTGTGCCGACACATTATGATGTCTAATTGCATGATCATATACTGTTTTTTCCCCCACAGGACCCCTGCTTCATTCAGTGTACAGAATGGGTGTATAAGGGGGTAAAATTAAGATTGCACAGACCACCATAAATATGGCATTTCCTAACTTTCAGGGGCTTGACTTCTCAACCTTAATATTCTCAGCATTTTTTTTTTTTATAAATGTAACTTGCATATAAAACCTCCAGTTGCTAATAGGTATCACGGTAGAACTGGGTTTTGAGGACTGATTTGAAGGACAAGGCAGGAGCTTCACAAACTAGTTCAGGAAGGGCATTCCATGCATAAGGGGCTGCTGATGTCCATTGCAGGGGGGTTGGGAAGGAGAAATCCTAATGGTGCTTATATGACCCTTAATGGTTTGGGGAAGAACCCTGCAGTGTCTTGGTACAATACAAATTACTCTGTACAATTCCTGCATACTGTTATTTTCATTTGGTGTGAGGAGTTGCTAGATCTGCTACTGAACCAAAGTAGTCTGAAATCTAGCATCTCTATTACAAAGCAAGCCAGTACTAATTTTCTCTGGTGCTGTTTACATAAAGCAGTAGGTAATATAATTCCATGTTAGATACTAAAGTAACCAGCCTCTCTGATGGATAATTAATTTCTGTTCTCTCCACCCAAGGCAAACACTTAAAAAAATCTGTGCCCTGTAACTTCTCTACCCAACCTCATTCTAGGTGAGCTGCATGAGAAGAGACCTTAAGTTTCTTTTTCTTTACACAGTCCAGCAACTGTGGTTGCATGAAACTTTTGCTCTGCAGCTCCTATTTCTGTTGAAACAACCTTCTTCTATCTTTGCTCCATAGACTCTCCATCACTCTTCAGATCTCCTCCAGACAACATATCTATGATTGTCTGAGCCTTTTGACCTATGTAATTATATTGCATCTCTTGATAAATGGCGTATGAAGCTATGTAATAGGGCCACTAATTTGAATAATTGTAATCTCTGAAAACTCATTTTGTGGGAAACTTCCAAATACCTGCTTCGGAAAACTTCCGTGGTTGCTCTCAAACTCTTACTACTTGGTTTCTGGCTCAAATCCAGGACAGGTTGGCAATGACTTGAAACTGTTATTTGATATGACTCTGTGGCCTGTGTGATGTAAGTTGGTAGCTTCTGTTCAGTTCCTAGTGAATAGGGTGGGGAGGGGGAAATCAGTCTCTCCTCCACCACAACTAGCAGTAAATTGGCCCTTAGAGCACAGAGGCCAAGGTTTACATAGATCATGGAGAATGAACTATTTCTTCACCCGTGTAGGGTTAGGGTGGGAAAGCGTCTCGCTGGGACAGCCTGGTGGGGATGCTTTGTTGCCTGCTGTGTGACAGACTGGGCTATTGCTCTGGCACTTCCTGCCAGTGATAAGTGCACTTGTGGAGTAGGGTGAATCATTCAGAAATGGGATTTTGAATTTTTTTTGTTTTTGTTTGTTTTTTAAATCTCTGCAGGAGCAGAAAGTGGATATCTCAAAGGTGCTCAGAGAGTTATGGCGGGACTTCCTGCAGTGCTATTCCTCCCGGCCTATGCTCTGCTGGTCTGTGTGGTGGGCATTCTCAACTTGTGGCTACTTCCAGGTAATAAACTACACGCAAGGCTTGTGGGAAATGGTGCTGCCTTCTCAGAGGTTCGAGATCTATAATGGTGGCGTGGAGGCAGTTTCTACGCTACTAGGTAAGCTACCTACTTAACTCCAGTTTCAAAGGGTGCATGTCACAAGGCATCTAAACACTATAACAAACCACAGAATTAGCATGTTACGTCCTTCAAACTGAGTATTGCCAAAACAGATCTGTTGTTGCAGCGCTTCCTATCATGTACAGGCGAGAGAATGACACTGAATCAAATTTTCATTGGGTGAGTTTCATGTGAATTGTCTAAGGGTGACTCAGCTGCACTGCGCTGATTTTGTAATCCAAGAGGTAGGTATTGAAATGTTGAAATACCTGGTCTTTCTACCTGTGATGTGCAGTATTACAGGACCCTCCCAAAGCAGTTGCAGCTCTGGAATGTTTAACAAAGCTCTCCAGGTGTATGACAGATTACCTGTGTACTATTAGGTGTTAACATGACTGCCAGTTTAAATGCCGTTGAGGATATATGGCTTCATTGTTCAAACAGACTGAGCTACCACCATTTTTAGTTGGAAGTATTGGAAGAAACTTGTGAGCCTCAAAGTAGTCTGCCCTGTAACCTCAGTTGCCAAAAGTCTTGCTTGACTGAAAGGGTCAAGTAAGGCATAAGTGAAAAACTTTTTGTGTAATAGGAGAAGTCTACTGGACATTCTTTGTCACAGCTGTGGGGATACTTTTAATACTGCTCTAACATGTTCACTCAGAGGAGCACTAAATGATACACAGCTATGGCGCCTAATGCAGTATCTCCCTCCTAGCTTAGTTGGGGAAACTGAGGCAATAAATATGAATGGCCTTATATTCCTTGCGTGGCGTTCAGTGGGAACAGGTTGCTCAGCACCTCTGAGGACTAGATCATAAGAGACTTGGCCCATGACAGATCATCACTTTCTAGGCACAGAACCCAGCAGGTTTAATTCCCACCTCTCTGCCTTAACCATTAGACCACCTGCCTCCATAGTGCTCGGCCAAGTTTAAATAACTAACAGAACAAACCTGACTGCTAGAGTACAGTACCTCCTGATGATGGGGTCAGAATAGCTCACTCAGACCTGAGCCGGAAGATTGTATGAGAACGAGTGAAACAGCTACAGTCTGGGGCACCAGGGTTGCTCTCTTGCAGAGCTAGGGTGGGATTTTCAAAAGCACTTGGTGCTAGCTTGACTTTATTCCCATTGAAGTCTAGTAGAAGGTTACTATAGACTTCAACTAGAGATGAGTTAGGCCAATGATGAGTACTGTTGAGAACCCTACTCTCTTGATTTTCATAAGGGTTTGGACACAGTCCCACATGACGTTTTCATAAGCAAACTAGGGAAAATGTGGTCTAGGTGAAATCGTAGGATGGGTGCACAACTGGTTGAAAGACCGTACACCAAGTAGTTATCAACGGTTCACTGCCAAACGGAGAGGGTATCCCATGGGGGCTACTCCTGTGTTTTGGTACTAGTCAATATTTTCATTAATGACTTGGCTAATGGAGTGGAGAGTGTCCTTATAAAATTTGCAGATGACACCAAACAGAGAGATTGCTAGCACTCTGAGGGACAGGATTAGAATTCAAAATGACCTTGACAAATTGGAGGAACTTGTCTGAAATCAACAAGATTAAATTCAGTAAAGATAAATACTTCGCGTAGGAAGGAAAATCTCAAATCCACAACTACAAAATTAAGGATTACTGACTAGATGGGAGTACTGCTGAAAAGATCCTGGAGGTGATAGTGGATCACAAATGGAATATGAGTCAACTATGTGATGCAGTTGCAAAAAAAAATCTAACCTTCTGTGGTGTATTAACAAGAATGCTGTATGTAAGACATGGGAAGTAATTGTCCTGCTCTACTTGACACTGGTGAGGCCTCAGCTGAAATACTGCATTTGGTTCTAGGCACCATACTTCAGGAAAGATGTGGACAATCTGGAAAGAGTCAAGAGAAGTGCAACAAAAATGATAGAAGGTTTAGAAAACCCAATCTATGAGTAAAGGTTAAACAAACTGGGCATGTTGTCTTGAGAAAAGCCTTATCAGGCTGCCCCTCAGCTTCAAATATATTAGGAGCTGTTATAAAGAGGACAGTGATCAATTGTTCTCCAAGCCCACTGAAGATAGAACAAGAAGTAATAGGCCTAGTCTACAGCAAGGGAGATTTAGGTTAGATATTAGGAGAAACTTTCTAACTCTAAGGGTAGTTAAGCACTGTAATAGGCTTCCAAGGGAGGTTGTGGAATCCCCCATCTTTGGAAGTTTTTAGGAACTGATTAGACAAACACCTGTCAGGGATGCTTCAGGCAGGGGTTTGGACTTGATGGCCTCTCGAGGTTCTTTACAGCCCTACACTTTCTGTGTGTTTTTTTTTTTTTTTTTTTTTTTTTTTTAAATGTGCACAGTAGTGGAGCTCCCCTTGTGCACATCTCGTATATTTAGACATTGGTTTCTCTTAATCTAATGCACAGAAGGTTTAAGCTGAATGTCTGAGCAACTATCAAGTTGTATTTTGTTTTCCTTTCTACTTATAGGAGCTGTTGCTGTATTTGCTGTGGGTTACATAAAAGTATCCTGGGCTACCTGGGGTGAGGTGGCATTGGCCCTGTTCTCCCTCCTCATTGCTGCTGCTGTATATGTCATGGACACTGTTCGTAACATCTGGGTGTGTTATGCCTCATATGTAATCTTCAGAATTGTCTACATGCTGCTCATCACAATAGCAACGTAGGTATTTTAATTTAAAAAACAAACCAAAAATAAAACATTGACAAGATTATAGCTGTCTGTCTCAAAACTGGCTTAATGCTTTGCATGTAGGCAGTGCCTTTTGTGCAAGGATCTTCAAGTTCTTTACATTTGAGCTTTGACAAATTGCCTGCAGTTCAATGGCAGACTTGGGAATAGAACAGAGGTTTTGTGATACTAAAGTCATTGTTTATAAATACTGGGTAGTGCTACCTGTCAGTGAAATGTTTTTCCATAAACATTGTTTGTTTGAGTGAAGCCATAGGGAGGGGAAGAGGGGCAAGTGCTATGTCAATAATACATGGTCAAAGTTTAGACATACCAGAAGGAAAATGAGATGAGATGATATGTCACTTGTGGAGGGGAATGCAGCAACTGTTTAATCAAACACTGCAGTACAGGTTAGCTAGGAAGTGAAGGAAATACTGTAATCCACTGTAAACTGCAGAGGGAGTTTTCCTCAGTAGGACAAATTGGAATCTGGCCAAGACAACCAATAACAAGTCTCCTCCTTAAAGGAGGAGGGTGGGAGTCAGTGCAAGCGTGCCCCCTTCTGGCCAAGCAGGGCATGAGCCCAGCTCACTCAGCTCAGGGGGGCTGTCAGTCTGTTTCTGGTGCCCAGGAATCTGAATACCCTCTTTGTTCTCAGGTACCACAGGGGGTTGGTCCCTTCATCCCTGGGCAACTCTTTAGAAGTTTGCTGACAGGAGCTCCTTTCTCCAGCCTGCTTACTCCTCTGATAGCCCCTGCTTCCCAGCCCTTGTATCCCCCCAGCTGCTGAGCGACTGCCAGTCAACAGTGGTTGGCAGTGCCTGTATTAACCCTTTAGTTGCTGGGCCAGTGTGGAGTACATACACCCCGTGCTAGTGGGTTTTCTGTATGACTTCTGAAAGATGGCCCCTTCCAACGTCACAGTGCCATTCAGGTACCAGGAGAGAGTATTTCAGTACTGACTCAGATAAAGAGTGCAACTTACTGAACTTCTGAAACTGTTTTCTGCAGCAGTTTGGGTTTCCCTGTGACATTTTCCCCAGTGCTAGCCAGCTGTGATCCTGCTTAGCTTGTGAGATGTGATAAGATCACAGTGCCAAATGATATGGCTGTGGAAATATTTAGCCAGTTTATGAATTAACTTTTCACCCTACATAGTTTTACCCTGAAAGGTTCCTTCTTCCCTTTTCCTCCTGTATTCACATTTCTCCCTTTTGGTTTTCTGCTTAGGTTCCAAATTGCTACCAATCTAAGCATGGAGCGGTATGCCCTGGTGTTTGGTATCAATACTTTCATTGCCTTGGCTCTGCAGACTTTGCTCACCTTGATTGTTGTTGACTCCAGTGGTCTTGGGCTAAACATATTCACACAGGTAAGATCACTGCTTTATCTTTACTAACTGGGGAAGAAGGAAGGGATGTAAATCAGGATGTGGAGCCTCCCTCCTGCCTCTGTCATCTGTGTGTGATTCTGGTCCAGGTCGTTGCTGTTCAGAGGGTGTTCAGTGGCCTGCTCTGTGACCTTGTGTGTGGAGAGGGAAGAAAAATAAAGTGTTTCAGTTCTATTGCTAACAGACAGTTGTGTCCATGTTACAAAACCACAACCACACTTAGCACCAGTTGGCTGCCTTGTTAATTTTCTCTGAGTAGTCAAGGATGGAGGCTGAGCTCCCATCTCACCCCATTAAGACAGGGTTTGAGGCACAGGTGAATGGGAGGGCTGGGCTGCCACTGTTCTATTATAGACATCTTCTTGTAGCCCTGTGCAAGTGAAGCTCCTGTTTAGTTCAGTGAGAGGTTTTTCTGTGCGCACACTGCAGCATTGCTCCCTTTTAGGTAAGCAGCCTTGGAGACTAAACTCCATTTGTCTAGTCTTTCACCAGTTCTAATGAAAGTACTGATTAAATCCAGATAATGAACTAGATGCAGCACACTTCATTCACCAATCCTAGTTTAAAAAAAAAACCTGAATATTTTTCCTTTCATATAAGGATGGAGAGGAGTGGATTTGCTAACCTTTAACTTACCAGTTTTTTCTCCCACTCTGCAGTTCATGATCTACGCTAGTTACTTTGCAGCCATATCGCTGGTGTTCTTGGTCAGTGGCATATACAGTGTTATGAAGAATTACAGAAGACAGGAAGAGATGCCAAGCAGATCTACTGCAAGCCCTCCTTAGTGCAGCGAATGAGGACATATTCAGCTGTGATGTATGAAGATGAAGTATTTATTAGTGTCTTTGCCACTTGTTTTCCAAGGCAGTCATCTGAAGTGTAATTTATACTATATTAGTAGCACACATCAGAGGGAAAATTATTTAATTAGATCTTACGTAAGTAAGAATAGACGTTCCTTCTCAAATGCCTTTTTTTATTGTTCAGTTCCATGGGTACGGAGGTGCACTGAGGTATCACAAGTTTGCTCAAGAGGTGAAAGGCTAGTGAAACCTGGGGCTCTCAAGATCATCAATGCAAATAAGGCTTTGTGTGTATAAATGCGCCCTCCATCCACCTGTCAGTGTTTGAGCACGAAAAGCCTGGAGCTGCTGCAGGTCATTTGTGAGGTTCACTAGCAGAGCTGTGTGTGTGTGTGGGGGGGATCCAGGGCTGGAATAGCACAGGGCGTGCTATAGGTCAAAATGGAGGTGCATTGGCGTAGCTGGCGTTGTGCCTTACCCATGCTGTTAGACGCACACTTCTGAGTACTGAATATATTTTAAATTTGAGGTTTGTATGTCTGCACGTTTCTTCATATTGCTTGTACTATTTCTACCTGGTCTGCCATCCCGTCTGTCAGAGTATCAGACATAGCTTTCCTTGATTCTCTACCCTGAAAGCTAAAATGTGTACTGGATTAGCCTTCTGACACCAGTGAGTTGGCTGTTGGCAAATACATTGTGTTCTGGGAAAGTCCATGCTGTGGCTTGCTTCAAAAGGACTATAATGCTGGAGAGAACCGAAGAAGCTATCTCTTTGTCCAGAATACTGGTCTGTGGGATCATGGATGTCCTTTAGAACTCTTGACTCCTGTGATGCAAAGGCCACTGACCCTGAATGCTCCAGTGTAGGTTACTGTAGTACACTAGTACTGGGAATGAAGTTGACTGACTGCAGTTACTGCAGTTTTTTCATTTAAATACTCTTTTTTTTTTTTTTTTTTTTTTTTTTTAAAACACTTGGTGACATCCTATATTGATCAGGTCTGTCCATTCTTAAACCCTTCCCCCTTTCTAACTGGACAGGAAAACTCAATGCATCCTAAAACCTGCCTTTGTTTTGCAGTCTGGACAACTTATGACTCGCCTGAGTAATTTGGAAAAGGAAATACACAAAAGATTGCACTGCTGTATCTAAATTGGCTCTTTGGGGAGGGTCAGTTGCTATGCTGTATGCTTCCTATCCAGCTGATTCTACCATGTTTACTCACTTCTGCCTTTATTTATTTTATTTGTAAATGCAACTGAGGTTTCACAGGGCGGAAGAATTTTTTTTCTGCTGAGAACTGAGAATCGTCCATGGGGGATGTTAGGAAGGGAGATAGTTCCATGAGAGAATGCTTTTCTTACAAATGAGCCACAGAATTGAGTGTGTAAGTTCATTATTCTCCTGCTGTCCAGGACCTGATCCATCCCAGATTTGAGTTACTTTAAAGAGTCCAACAAGTATAGATGGACCTCAGGCAAAATCCCAGGATCTGGACTTCCCCAAACTTCCTGATGTTTGAAATCTGGTTTCTTAATGTTTCCTGGGGCCACTTTTGCTGACGTCTATTTGTATGTAACTTAGCTACCATACCCTGAAAAAGAAACTTGAAAGGAACATTTTAAAAAAAAAAAAACCCACTTTTAAGAAAACTTCTCAAGCAGTGTTAGAGGGTAGGTTTTAGGCAAGAAGAAATAGTGATTAAACATAATTTGATAACTGTTCTTGGAAAACGGATGGCCATTTCACATGCAGCCCCTTGTGATATAATCTCAGCCTGGTTGCAGATGTTACAGGAGTATGGGGATGAATAACCAAAAGAGGAAGCTGAACCTCCTAGCTGTGTCTCCCAGGTGGGGAGGTGGGAGAGGAGACATGGTCAGGGATAAGGGGGCCGAAGCTGGGGATGGGGCTGGAGCAGAGCTGGGAGCGGAAGGACTGGGTGGTGCTCCCTCCCCATCCCCGTGGGGGCTGGCCTGGGCCCCACCATGCCCTCTCCCTCTCTTCCTCCCTCCTCCCCAAGTGTTTTGCCCCACAGTTTGGGGACCTCTGTTCTAGAGTGATGTTACTAATGGATTGTGGCAAGATCAAAATGTCTATAGGACAAAAATTATTGCCATGTCTGTTTTAAATATATGGTCACTTTACCTACATTCATTGGCTTAAATAATTATAGTGTATCTTAAGCCTGGAAGTCCTTTTCAGGTTCTTATGCTATGCCATCACTGTGGTATCTGAATGCTGCAGTGATGGAGTATAAGAACCTAGATGGAGGAGGAGATTTGTTTGTGGAAGCAAAGGTACATACATATGAAATATTGCAAACAAGACATAATCATGGACAGGACCTTTTTATTTGGTTTTGTTCTGATATTACAGCAATTTTTATCAAATAAAGTATTTTACACAGTATTTCCTAAAATGATCTTATCTGTATTTCAACACCTTGCTTATCTTGAGCATTGCTACGACAATGGGCATGGCTTTTTCTAATAGTTTTTATGTAACAGGAAATGGGGAGGGGGGTGAATTAAAAAGGAACCACAGCTAAAACAAATCTTGGTGGATGGCAATTAACTATTTACTGTTCTTGGTAGCTTTGTAGATGTCAGTATAGGAAAAATCTTGTGTCCTAAGACGAGGTCTCTACTCTGACCTCTTTGAACTGCTTAGCAATCTAGTTTTAGTAAACATTTATTCAGCAAGGGTGAAATTCATTTGTAGGTGGAGGGCCCAGTTAAAGGGTACTGTGGGAGGGAACACTAGTCAAGGAGCCACAGACACATCCGCTGCATGGGAGGGGAGAGATCACTGGAAAACAGGTTCCAGAGAGGCAGGTTCAAGGAAGAGCCACTGAATGGATGCTTGTGACCAGGAACCCGCACACAAAGAGAGCTGCCACCACCCCAGCCCATAAACTCTACAAAATAACCCCCCAGAGAGAGGTTGTGCTTCAGTTCCAGTCTAAGGGTGGAGGTGGCTTGGCTTTTGCGAAACCTGATCCAGTAGAGTGAGGTTTGAGGGAGAATGTAGGTGCTCGAAGAGTAGCTGTTGCTCTGTGTGACCATTGCTTTATAGTGGCCACGTGAAGGACTCTTGCATCGATGTAAGTACTGAAGACATGAGCCAGAGGCCTGAGCATCAAGCATCAAATATCCCAGGTAAGAAGTAGAGGTCAGCCATGAGGGGGAAATACTTAAAATAGGTTTGCTGGGTCCACATCTGAAAATTAGGTTAGAGGGGTGGGGAGACAAAAATAGTGTTGCCGATCACCACCACTACATCCACCAGCAAGCAAAAAGGAGTAATGCTACCACTGTGTCTTCTCTATAACCAACTCTTAAAGATCATTACCTTGGGATCTAGACTATTCTTAATTAGTTTTATGTACTACACCTCCCCCTGCCAAGTCTTCTGGCTTTACAGATGCTATCTTGTTTCAAAAAGTCTCTCTCATATTTAATGTACGGAAGAGCTGAACAAACAAGGCAAACGTTCACTATACAAGCGAAATGAGGAAATTGACAGCACACACAGTGCCATTAAAAGCAAGAAATCTATATAATGTAATGTAGAGTAGTATGCTTTTTTTAAATTGTGTGTGGATGTTTTGCCCCAAATTGGTGGTGTCCCTCTAATTTGGAAAAGGGTTGCTTTGGTCTGGGACTGTATTGATTTGTTGTATCCTAGTGCCACCTAGGGCACCAATCAAATTTACTGAGACACCAAACAACACCTACAAAGTGCAAAACAAGTGATCCTGGAACACTTATTGCTCTTGGAATACACATGGTAGTGGGCACTATGCTTGGTAGCAAGTATATGCAAGTTTGGGCCAATAATAAGGGAAAGGCAGAAACACATTTTCTAGTATTTCACTTTTACAAAGTGCTTCTCATCCGAGTTCTTAAAAGTACTTTACAAAGGAGGTCAGTATCATTACTCCCATTTTCCAAAGGGGGAAACTCAGGTGCAGAGATGAAGTGATGTGCAGGATCACCCAGCAGGCCAGTGGCAGAACTTAATTCCTTATCTTTAATCTGAAAATTGATGACAATAGTTCACCCTTCTGCCTTACCTGGATGACTAGATGAGCTGACTCAGCTGGGTTTCCAGGCAATCTAGGGGATTAAAACCTGATGCTTAAGGCTAGATTCAGCTGTGATGGTGAATTATAAAGCAATGGGTGAGATTCAGTCAATGATGTGTCTCCACTTGGCACAAGATTCCCAGTGGAAGGCAGTTTGCCAGGCAGGAGGTCATAATTGCAGCCACAACTATCCATTTGTAGAGAGCCCTGGAGATAGTGAAGCTCCAAAAGTGCATGGGTGTGGCTAGGTTTGCAACGAGCCAGCAGCCAATGAGGGCATTCCTGGAAGCCCCCAGCAGAACTTAAAACTAACACCTCCCATGGACCAACCCTAGTGGGCAGGGGGATGGAGTGGAAACACCTTGAAGTAAATCTGGAGGTACAATGTGAACTTCCCTGCACCAGCTATGCCACTTGCTGTGGATTCTTTGCTAAAGCTTTATAGTCACAAGCTTCTCCTTTCTTTTTTGGTAAGTCTAGTATTGCCTGTGGGAAATTAGAGCAGGCTTGATGCAAAGTCTGTAATGTGAGTTGTCATGTGAAAACAGAGTCTGTCTTAAGTGTTCTGGTCAATAAGCATCTATTTCAGTCTAGCTAAAGGTGACATCTAATCAATGGTTCTCTGTGCTGTCATCACTTGCCCATTAAAATTGTGTTTTGAAAACCAACGGCATGTTTACCATAAGTGCTAGGAGACTTTCAGAAAAGAAGTAATACAGCAAGTTAAATTGGCTATTTAAATGATACTAATTTTGACAAATGTTATAGTAGTGGAGCCCTTTATTATTTGCAAGGTGTTGACAGGCGCTTAGCAACAGGGACACGCTCCCAGCCACCTAAGAATGCTCTGATAGCCACCATTTCAAACAAAAGGGTTTCTAGTTCATAATGACCTGTTTCTATTTATACATTGTATGGCTGGTTTCATTGCCATGCAACAGCTACCAGAGCCTGCTAAGCACAAAGATACACTGTGCTACAATCTACAGGTATTATTTGTTTTACGCTCTATAAACATCAGACAACCCAGGATTTAACTGTAAGATGTTTTTATACTTAAAGATCTCTTTGAATTCTTTCCATTCTACCCCTAGTCGTAAATGAGTCATGAAGTTCCTTGAAATTTGTGGAAGTTATTAATTTGTGTTAACTTCAACATTCTACTCCTAACTTCATTTGAATTTGATCAGTGTTCATTGCCAAACAAAACATGTTTAATACACAATCTGATAAATGTAACCTACATAACCTCAAACACTGATGTAATCATAAATCATTTAATACTATTTCTTAAACC